GAAAATTTCAGCTTAGTGCGCCCATTATTTTTCGATAAAAACGCTTTATCCACGATTTTACAGGAATTTTTTTGTCCCCTGCTTTCGCGAAAGTGAGGGTACATCAAAGCTCATATATTTCTGTCAGTCTGTCGGTCTGTCTGTCACGAAACCTGTTGGTCATAACATTTGAATGAGAAAAATACTGCGTAAAATTGTGTATATCCGAATAACCGAGTAGCAGTTTTACTATCCGATACTCCCATCGTTCGATGGTTAACCGGTTAACCGGGTACTCGTTGGCAACACAATTTTTTTTAAAGTTTAGGAATCCAGTAAAGGTAGGGCAGATCAAAGTCACCTTGGCTGACTTGAATGTTACAAGTTTGTTAAAAACACTTAAATGTGATTTTGAAGAATTTCATCCCTAGAAAGTGAACTGTGGGTATAAGCTGGATTTCCAGACGTAGAATTAAAACCAAGTACCCCTAAATTAAAGTTAAAATAACGATTTCTCAAAAAAATGGCCAAAAAATAATAACCATAAAATTGGAATCTATTGTATTATACTGTATATATAACATTATCTTCAATGAAACAACCATCCCCTCAAAAAAAAAAAAAAAAAAAAAAAAAAAAAAACGCAGTTAATGAAATTAATCATACATTAACACTTTCAGGTTTGAAAATGCATATACCGTAAAATACGTTGTAAAAGACCCAGTGAGAAGTTCCAATAACAGATTCTTTTACATTCTCAATTTTAGATAGATCAATTTTCAACGACAGAAAAAAGAGTAATTCTGTGTTACGCTCAAAAAATATTATTCAAAGATTGTGTCCCCAACCTTATCCAGCATGGTGCATTGGATAGAGTATATTTCTAGAATCATGAAGGATGAAGTTAAAGCTAAACACGACTCGTAAAAATGCATACGCCATATAAAATCATATCTCTGTTATCAGTACTAGGGCATTTAAACCCTTCCCATGCTTTTACCTGGTCTCCTCTTTCACTGAACGTGCATTTGTGTTTATTTCCTTTTTAAACATTGATCTGTGCAATTAATATCGAATATCTTGGTAACTTTTTTCTAGACTTGGCAGAGGCATACAGAATTCATTTTGTCACCCAAGTATATCAAAATGACAATGTGTTTAGGTGAAGTCTGCGAAGCGAAATACATTGAACAGCCGTGAATAAAGCTGAGGCTTATATTGGGGCTGGAGAAGGGTGGTCTTGAGGAGACTAATATGGCGGACAAAAAATCTCCCTTTCACGAATTGTGTTCAGCTTGAAGTTGTTTAATTTCAAGAAGAATTTTAAGCTGTCAATTTTCGAATTATCGCCATTCGATTTATCGCCATTCTCGCAATAACACCATGATTTCCAAACAACGTTTTCCCTGCTATATAAAATTCTCTTCACAACGCCAAATTCGCATACTATCATCCGCCACCCTGTCTTCACAACAAACGTCCATTTCAAAGTGTCATTTATCTCTATACACTGCCACGGGTGCATGTGGTCAGTGAAGCAGCTAATTAGTTGACGCTATCTAGTTCACCGTTGTAAAGCCAGACAAGGTACATGTAATTAAAGAATTAAATAAACAATAATTTTTAACATAAACTGTTATTATAATATTTTTGTTTTCTGTTTAATAAAAATGATTTAATAATGGTTTCCCCATGAAAGTTGTTGTTGAAGTTCGCCGACAACGATATTATATTTCGATGATCCCTACTTTAAACAATGCAAAGTTTGCTTTAAAAATAATGATACAGTATTAATTGCAAAAGTTTTAGCAACAACGATGCCATTAACAAATGTATTTACAGGAGTTCATTTTACATACTATCAGCAATAGATCACAACGATATTACAGCATGGTTTTTTTTCAGTATCATACATGCAGATTAACATGCAGGTATATGTTTTTATTTAAAAACTGTATATTTAAAAAAAAAAAGAAATTATTGTACATAAAAGAAATACTTGAAGCATTTTCAAATTTAGAAATATGTTTGATATATCACATGCAAAAAGTGTCTTTTAGATAACTTTCCAAGAGATAAACATTGGAAATTCATACTTTACGCAAAGATTATTTATAAAAAGTGGGTATGTCCTGACCTTAACAATGAAATTTGTTCAAGTTTAAGATCGCTTGAAGAATAAAGTAAAATTCCTTTCCTTGCTATGGTCTTGTTATGGAAAAATACAATGGAACCTCATATTTCGTACAAATATTGCTTTTCAATACCTTAATTCAAGGTCATATGGGCAAGTTCAAGGTCAATGTCAGTGTAAAAAATTTATCTTGACGATGAATTTGTAAAAGACAAGCAATTTAAAAAAATGCAGCCGGGACTATCGTTTTTCTATCTAGTTCATGATACTTTCAATTTTCTGGAGGGTACTGAACTTCAAGTAGATCCCTACTATAAGATATATTGTAGCTGAACTACATACTTTATTTTATCTATTTTTTTTTTATTTTTTATTTTTTTTATTACCATTTGATAGTACAGAAAGATGATATGCCTAAAAAATGAATATACATTCCATCTTAGGATAAACAGGTACTTAAACTTTGGCAAATTTTGGGAAAAAATTAATACATGACAGATATGTTCATAGTAAAACAATCAAATAATACTTGGCAATATGAAAATTGAAATTTTTTTGCAGATATGATACATTGAAGGATCAATTTTGGAGAAACTAATTTAATTTTGTTGTATCTTTTGTAAATTTATTGATATTTGTATCCAAAAATGGTAAAATTCAAATATTTGTATTGTTCTTATCTTCAATTGGCCTGAATATATATGTTGTTGTATAGCACTACTTTCCTTGGGAATATAAATATAAAACTTAGTCGCTGAAGTTTAACTTTATAGTATGCATTATATAGGCTAAATATCTTTATTTTATCTGAAAAGTGGTTCCAAACCATTATCCATGGTTTTCTCTGAGACAGGCAATTTAAAACGTCCATATCGTGTTAAATAAAAGTGATGCACGACATTGCAGTTTTATATAAATACATTAATATACCTTTATCACCTACATAGAAGGTTTATGTCTCTCAGTTAAATCGATACGCAAGAGTATGCTCTACTTATGAGCAACTAATATTTCTAAAATGAGGCAAACTATCGGCATACAAGTTCCTGAAACAAGAATAACAACAGTTTCGTTTGAAGTTAACATTTTGCAAGTTCTATGGTCGATACAATGACCTTGTCAGCAAATACAATCTATCATTAAGTCATATGCTGACTGATGTTTTGCATACTTATTGTTTATTATTTGCTCACTGAAATTTCTACGGATTTTTCCGTTTTCCCGGTCATGACAAGGAACACACGCCGGGTGTGAATGTGTGATCGATCGACTAGGGATGCTCACTCCTCCATGGCACCTGGTCCCACCTCTGATGTTTTAGAGGTCCGAGTTTTCTCTGCTCCTGATTTGTTTTGTTTGCATGGACCTTGAATACTGTTCGTTTTCTCCGTATTTAACCTATATTTTTTTCGATCGAGTCAATGACATTAGGTAACTTTTGTACAAATGGAGTTTATAAATTTAATTTAGAAGCAAAAGAACTGAAAACCGTACGAAAGTAAAGGATTTTTTAAGATCTTTTTTTTATTTAAGAAATTAAAAATTCAGAAGAAACTTGTATATCTAGTGTTATCACCTTTCTTATTTTTTAAAAATGCAATCATTACTTCCCATTTCCTCAGCAAAGTGTGCATTAATGAATAATTCTGCAACCACCTTTTTTAAACAGAAAATTAAGACAAAAAACTAATAATGGAATATAACGATCAGAAATCAAGGTTTAAAGTCCATTGGAACAATACGAATTGGAAAAGAGCATACAGACTCCTAAGAACATTAGAGGTAGGATCAGATGTCATAAACATCACCTGTCGACCGCCCACATTATTCGCCGTGTGCTCTTTATGGAAAAATCCATAGACAATTAAGTCTGAAAATAATAGCTTAACAATTTGTATGAAAAATGACAGTCAACATTCGACTTAACGACAGACTGTATTTGTTGACAAGGCCATTGTACAGACCATAATTTGTGAGAATAATACAAACATCCACTTTGAAATAAATGGTAAAGATAAGAAAACTCTAAACACTAATGAAAATGTTTTGGTTTTGAAACTTGCATCATATATTGAATTGCATATTGACGATTTGGAGGTAAGATACCTGGAATATTTTACTAGGAAAAATGTTTAAAACTTGAAAGAAATCAATTTTGTATACTTACCTTGGGAAAATACATGCAAATAATGTTTTTAATTACAATATCTTTGCGTAGTATAATGTTATACATAATCTATTTCAAAAAATGTCATTTTTGTCTGATATTTTTCCTACAATTGTTAGATAAATGTTTTTATATTTACGTTTGCTACCTAAGGAATACAGAAGTCTCACGGTGGATGTGATCGGTCGTCAGGGGATACTTTACTTGGACACCTGATGCCACCTCGGGTGTTTCTGTGTTTCTAGAGGTCCGCGATTTTGTCCAATTCACGACTCATATTCTTTACAGGCTTTATGAGATTAATCACTGTTCGTTTTCGTTAGCATTTACAGTTATCGTTAACTTCTGTTTATTTATAATACTTCAAACTACCATAAAATTATAACCCATCTGTGATCAGTGTTTAGAGCTTCCATAACCTTGTTGGTCTTTAAACTCCAAATGTACATTTTTGAGTTGCTCACATAATCACTATAATATTGATATTAATATAAATGAAAATATATGAATAACAACATTGTACAAAATCTTTATTTTACAAGTATACAGAGCAAATATATAAGAGCTTAGATAGCAAGAACTAGCAATAGGCATAATTTTATCCTTAAAAAATCTATATAATAAAGAAGGATTTGTTTAGGGGATGGGCTATAATTACTCAGTGTCGATATCAAAATCATGAGAAAAACATTAAGCAGAAATGCATGAAAATCCTGGGAATATAAAATTAAAAATAGATTACATTGATAAAATACGAAGTTATTTTTTTATTTTAGTTGCACGTAAAAGGATTTGTTAAAAAGATCCCTAAAGATATTTAGCATAGGAAAAAGTCTTTAACACTTTCATTCAACGACATTTTCCTTGTTAGTGTGCTGGTTCAATGTTGACAGAGACGGTCATGGTTCCACTTCTAGGGCTTCCACGCGAGGGATTGTCCACACCAACAACAATGAGTGTGTAGCTGGCGTCACAAGCGCTGTAATCAATGGCATTTCTTGTGGTTAATATTTCATTGCCAACAATCTGAAACTTCGGAATTTGATCATCGCCACACTTAATGAACACGTCAGTACACCCAGTAGGATAACCTTGATGATCCTTATCAAAATCTTTGCATTCCAAGCGAGCCACGAAAGAATCTACAAAGAATATCACTTTATTTCCATCATTTAAAATTAAAATACCTGTGACATTGATATTGTTATGGATAACACATCAATAAATCATACTTTGCTCTAGCGTGTCAAGTGAAAAGCTTTTTCAAAGAATTAGATTTTTTGACAGATTTAAAGTATCCCCACACCAATCTAGTAACAAATTTCTAGGATAAGGACAACAATACCATAGTGATTGATTTTTAGGCAATGGAACAGTCAAGGTCCTGTGCAATACAGATAGACGGACTCACAATTGTAAGGATAGATTTAAATAGTTATACCAAAACCAACAGTTCTCCTACCTATAGGGGATATATCATGGATATGCAGCATGGAGATATATATATATATATATATATATATATATATATATATATATATATATATATATAATCTGGAATAAAATTGTCTGGTTTTTAAAGAGTATGTGTTACCTCTTTTCTCTTGTTACTTAAAGCAAGTTCTGAAGAACGAAATTTCAGATCTGAATTCTCTTTATATAAAGTTTGATATTATCATTAAGTCTCTAAATCTTGAATTAAGAGATCATCTCCTGCTAAACTGCGAGCTATTATAATTGAATATTAATGATGTATTGAATGATTTACTTACCATGTGGTAGTCTTTCCTTAATGTATACTGTCTGAGTTGCGACGCAGAACTCTGGATCATGCTCATTGATTGGCAGAACATTAACTGTAATCACTGGACAATTTTCACCATCAGAAACGGAGGTACTTTTGTCTCTTACCCTTTCATGATATCAAACGAGTCTTTTTATCCACTTGACTGAATTAGTTTCATGACTTAGAAATGGTAGAATGAACCACAATTGAAGGGTATTGCACACATTTATTTTCAAAGCAATATTTAAAATATATAGAAATATAAAAACATTTGCAGAGAAAATAGAAGACAAATATGCTAATATTTACCATACATTGTTGACAATATGTTGATTTGCTTGTTCAAAATCCAAGTGAGCTTTTACCACAAGATTTCGTCCATTCAGTGAAAAATATGGATCATCTCCTCTCATATAATAGATAACTCTGTCTCCATCAGCATCGAAACCGGAAATCGTGTAAATGGTAGAATCAACTAATATTGTTTCCTCTATTGAAACTGTAGTGCCACCAAATGAAGGACGGACACAAACAGCTTTATGTCTTGTTCCAACTATTAATTTAATTTTGAAAGTTATAAAAAAATATGTCTTCAGTCGCTAGATGTTTTCAGAATAAAAAATACGTGTGTATAATGTAAAAAATACAATTTGATAATTTTGTAGCAACTTTTCCGAGATCTTGTCAATTTCATAAGGTATTCAATTCTACAAAAGCTAATATATTCATAAATTAAATCTTGATATCTGTCTCAGTAGGAAAAAATGTTTTGATTTAGACTCTCTGAAAACGATTTAACAAAAGACATTTTATTCATATATGTGAAAAGGAAAAACATAAACTCCATGTTTTATTGAAACTGATTATAAGTAAAGAGGTCATTGAATTGAACTGTACATATTTTATTGAAATTTTAGTGGAAAAAAATCAAACGGATCAGACACACGTCAAGTTCTGAAACTTATATAGTCTTCTCCTTTTACAAAATTTTGTAAAATTGCCAAAATATAAATATGTGTATATGTATATATGGATTACTACATAGTAGTATGAAAAAGAAAATAATTTTTTTAAATATACAAAATATTAATTTTCAGATTAAAAATTTAAGCTTTTTTAAAGAAAAACGACAACATTCATCCAGAAAATTTTGATTAATCTTGAGAAGTTCAGCATTTTGTTTATAAGTGGAATAAAATCATTGGTATCATGTTCAATATTATGAGGAAATGAAAAAAAATATCGTCCTAAAAGAAAGTATATTTTACATTTCATTTTGACTAATTACATGCCATACATTTTTTTTTTTTACATTTTTGAATACTCATTGCATTAATGTAGAGCAGTTAATTAAGGAATGAATTTAAATAGCTACCCAAGTTGTACTGGTATAACCTGGGTAGGGGCAGTGTATGCTTTATAAACCGCAAAGCG